CCCCCCCCCCGTCCTTCAATTGCTGTTATATAACATAGTGCCATTGGCCCATATAGGGGAATTCTGTTCTACTTCATTTAGCCGGCATCTTGGGACTTTTAGGATGAAGGCTGTCCCATTAGCTGAAACCCAACAAAACAGCAAGTCCAAAACATAACAATACGGTCCTGTGAATTGGACTACAGTGTTTGCCATTGGTCAGTCTCTTGCTGCATCTGCTTTGTTGAGCTGTAAAAAAATGAGCACATTGATGATATTAAATGTCATTGTGTCCAGTATCTTTCTTGGTTGCTTTTAGAAGTGAGACACTGGAAAGCCTAAGGAGTTGCAGAGGCCTTAATTTCTAAGATTTAATCACCTGTCATTCATGCATTTTCAATTCCCCCCCCTCACAGCTCTGGGCTGAAAATCTGCTACAAAAATGAAATTTTAAATATTCTCATCTGATAGTATATTCTGCATTTGAACAATGGTCTGGCCCAGCCAGCCAAGATCATGACAGTTTGTTGTACAAAGTCTCTGAGACAGTCATGCTATTTACATATGAAGTAATTATACATTCTAATCTGGTTGTCTGGGCCATTTTACACGGATGTTCTTTTCCCATAACATTTCTAGCAGTCAGTATTTTATCATCTGTCTTCCAGGTGGGGCAAAGTATTATCTGTACAGCTAATGACAGAATTGCTTTGTGATAAGACTGCTGAGGAATAGCAGTAATCAATGACTCAGCTTTTTCTTTATATGAACAGGGGCTATTGTACCATTTTAGCTTTAAAAGAGAGAATGCCAGCTAAATTCTCTATTACAGTATTCAAGGTTTTTTTTAAAAATCCCCGGAGGGATATTTTTTATTTTGCAAAACTACAAAAACTACAAAGAAAAAATAGGGAAGGGACTACATCTAAGGAGAAAGAAAAGCATACCACACTAATCTAAAACCCCAAGAGGAGGAGATCTTTTCACTGTTAGTTAAAATGTTAGTACTGCTAAAGTTAATGTCACAATATACTTGTAGAGTTCTTGCTTATAACAGTTTGCTATTTATATGTTATTTTGTTAGTTGGTATGAGAGATCTTATACAGTATTCAAGTTTGACTAGCAGAGTTTATGACAGCAGTTAAATGGAGATCCTAGGCTAGTGAATTACTGGATTCCATTTTGTTTCCAGGCAGTTTTCTCATGGCAAAACTGAAAGGCCTTGAATATCTTTCCCTTTCACAAATAACTCTTCCCCAGTCATGTCTCACACTTATTTAATATAAGCATATAATATTCCCATACAATTTTTAATTGGGTAGTTGAACAGTTTGATATGAAAGATTTTCATGTTAAGGGATAGAGTCAGAAGTGAGGTGAAGATTGATGTGGATGCATATTGAGAGCAAGAAGGAAAGAGAATAAAATAATTTGAAGGACTGTTTATTCATAAGAGGAACAGTTGTAATTTTCTGTGTACGTTGCATCTGTCTTTTTGCAATTTCTTCTAGAGGAGATTCATTATATTAGCACTTAGTTATCAAGTGAGGAATTAACCCATTTTCCCCTCCCATCTGTAAATGGTTATATGTGTCCACTAGGGCACCTACAAATTCCAGTGCAGGCTGCTTGTGCTTGGTTACTGCTAGGCTCTTGGCCAATCTATTGTCTTGTTTTGTTTTCCTACTTGCAAAATATGCAAGAAGTATGCCACCAATTTTGTGGGTATTAGCTTTGTGCAGTGTTTGGGTACAGCATAAAAGGATGTCATTGCTTCTCAATCACTTTTTTTCCCTTTCAGGCTATGTTAATGAATAACATCACAGTAAATGAGAAATTGATCCAGAACTTCCAAGGTAAATCTCAATAAAGCAATACCTTTACATCAAATTACTGTTTACATTGTTCTCAGTTATATCCCATTATATGTCTATTGGTAAAACATCTCCATCACAAAGTAGAAACAAATACAATAGCTTCTGAAGTTGTTTTAGAATATGAGTTCCCAACTAGAATTATGCTTATGCTATGTATAATAACTGTGTGACCCTAACATGTTGAAAGAGACAATCCCAAGTGCTTAAGAATGTAAGATGATGGAAAAGTTATTGTTCTTGTATAATTGAAAAACTAGGAATAGATGACAGAGTATAGTAGGCAACAAATTTAGAGTCCAATGGCACCTTTAAGACCAACAAAGGCTTATTCAAGGTATGAGCTTTCAGATGCGCATGCACACTTTATCAAATACACTTAGAATGCAAAAAGGTTCAAATTTATAGCCACCAAATTAATATGCAACATGATGATGATCAAGATATGCGAAGTGACACTAAATAACAAGTTAAGGTTATAAGGTCAACAGTTGTAAAGCAATAAATATGTCAGACTAGCAGAGAAATGTCTAAAGGTGTATTTTCTAATTGTGGGAAGTGACTGGGAATCTTCATTCTCTCCTGTCAGGCAGGGAGGGCACTTAACACTACATCCCCATCTAAAGAATGCTACTATGTCAGCAGATATCCTAATATCCCTTGCATACATTCAGTATTCTAATATACTATTATGAAAAAGAAATAGACTAAAATACATTCAAAAACTGAGGATTTATAGTCCTTCTTGTTGAGAATACATATGTGAGGACTGAATGAGCTAGCATATATAATGAGATAAAATCCAATATCCTCGTTGAGTCCTGGGGAGGTTTTTGTTCCAAGTGTTGTAATAATTTGTAATTCATCAGTTTCCCTTTCCATTCTGTTTCTGAAGTTCCTTTGTAATAAAACAGCTACTTTGTGGTCACCCACTGAATGTCCTGGAAGGTTGAAGTGTTCTCCTATAGATTTCTTAATCTTGTGATTCCTGATGTCAGATTAGTGTCCATTTATCCTCTGGCATAGGGTTTGTCCTGTTTGTCCTATGTAGAGAACTGAAGGGCATTGTTGGCATTTAATGGCATCATATACAGTGTTAGAAGATGAGCAAGTATATGAGTCTCTGATGGAGTAGTTGATGTTGTTAGGTCCAGTGATTATGCTGTCTGGGTGTATATGGCAGCAAAGTTGGCACCTGGGTTTATTGCAAGCTCTATTTTAGGAACACATTTATGAAGGTGTTTAGTTTAGTTGCCCAGGGTTTACTGCAAGCATAAATGTGCATACTGATATAAAAGAGCCACTAGGAAATGCTGATTCATGCGCTGGTAGGTTTCCAGCTAGAGACAGCCAAGTTGTAAGGGTATGTTCAAGGTCTTTCTTGGAGTGTCGTGCATGAAGATGTAACTTGTATTGTTTTAATAAGGATTTAAAATATATTCTCCTGATATAATTATTTTTATGCAAAAAGTGAAAGAGGTACATACAGGCTATTTAGTATACAGTGTTGAGCAGAAACTCCAAAGTATAACGTTTTATAAAGACAACAGGGCGGTAGTAACACTGGACTTGTTCAGGAAGCCACATTTACAAAGGGAAAAGGGGTATTGTTTGTTGCACTGTTTATTGTATGTATTTAATGTTTTTACTGCATTGTTTTCTAATTTGTTATCCAGTTTCTAAATTTCTTATATGCCATATACTTTTTATATTACATTATTTTAAGTTTGCAATCTAATATTATTTATATATTTCATACTGCTCCTATTGTATTGATAAAGTTTGTAACCTCTGTGGAATCTGTGTGAAAAAGGTGGACTATAAATGAAATAAATAAACTTCACTTGTATTCTGCTTGTGGTACAGTGTGGTCTGGATAACAAGTTAATCTCCATAGGGTCTGGTAGATGGATTATCATTCTGATATTCTGCAATTGGCTAGAAAGCTAGATAGTATCTTGATGCATTCCAGTTGTACTTGATACAGATTGGACAGAAATGGGATTTCAGACTTCCGGTTTATGGCGACACACTGGCAGACGCACCTCCTGGACCTCCCGGGGGTGCGATCTGTGCACTAGCAGTTAGGAGGGAGGGCGATTGTTCGCCACCCTCCCCCCGGAGCCTTTGTGAAAGCCATGGGGCTTTTGAAGGGTGGCCTCTTCGCCAGCACGATGCTGGGGAATTGAGGTGCTCTTCCGCCCCAACGGTACTGCCGCAATGCGTCCGAATGGAACTAGAGCCGCTGACCAGGACAAACGTCGGAGATCGAACGTTTAAAACGCATTTTGAGTGAGGTCTTATGATCAACAATGAACAGTGAGTCGAGTGAAAGTGAAATATCGGCAACTTAAAAAGAAAGTCCCCCCCCCCGAGAATGGCGAGAAAAGTGAGCAGGGGAGGGGCCCCTCCCATACACATGAACTAAAAAGTGATTCAGCAAGGGGGGGACGGAATTAAAAGCATTGAAATCTGTTTTAAGAACCTTACCAGAGCACGGATAGACGTTGGGCGAATTTCAGAGACTTTAGCAAGTTTTGACAAAAGTAAACAATCCATAAAAATGGCGTGGAAAAAAGTGTGGAAAAAAGCGGAGGGAGACAAACAGGCAAAAGTGAAACCACCAGGGAGCATGAGCCCATGACCAGAAGAGAGTTCTCTAAACATTTGGTGGACTCTTTTCGCCCTCTACTGGATCAGATGACTAACCTCAATCAGCAGCTGACAACTCTAAACCAGAACTTTGCAACTCAGCAGCTCCAACTGTCTGAAACTACAAAAAAAACGGAGCTGAGAAAGTAAAGGAAATAGATGCCAACTCTAAAAAAAGTCAAGAAAAAGGTGCAAATGCTGGAAAGGAAGCAAGCTTCGGATGAATCTCAACTTTTACAAGGGGTCCCTGAAGTAAAAGACGAGAATCTAAAGCAACTTTTGAGCAATGCATTAGCTCCAGTTACAGATTTAAAAGCGGAATACCTTATAAGCGAAATGAATGTGGTCTATAGGGCCTATTCTGTTTGCATCAAGAAAAATAATCTGCCGGGGGAGATAGTGGTTAGATTCTCAAAGAGACACGTGAGGGATTCTATCCTGAAAGCAACTACAGGAACACCGCCGAAAATCGGAGGCAACACCATCAGGATTTTAAAAGACATCCCATTTGAAATAAGGAAGAAGAGAAAGAAGTATAAAGACTTAATCCTTTTTTTTAAACAAACAAACAGCATTTCCTACAGATGGTTAACCCCTGAAGGTGTCATTTTCTTTTTTCTTTTTTAAATCCCCATAGGGATATTTTTTTAATTTGCAAATACTACAAACTACAAAGAAATATAGGGGAGGGACTACAACTAAGGAGAAAGAAAAGCAAACCACACTAAACTAAAACCCCAAGAGGAGGAGATCTTTTCACTGTTAGTAAAATGATAGAGTGCCTGAAGAACTATGGACGGAGGTTCGTGACATTGTACAGGAGGCAGCAATCACCACCATCCCAAAGAAAAAGAAATAGAAGAAAGCAAAGTGGCTTTCTGATGAGGCTTTACAAATAGCAGAGGTAAGAAGGAAAGTGAAAGGCAAAGGCGAAAAGGAAAGATTTACCCAACTGAATGCAGATTTCCAGAGAACAGCAAGGAGAGATAAGGAGGCCTTCCTTAATGAACAGTGCAAAGTAGATCTCTTCAAGAAAGTTGGAGAAATCAAGGGAGCGTTCCAGGCAAAGGTGGCCATGATAAAGGACAAAAACGGTAGGGACCTAACAGAAGCAGAAGAGATTAGGAAAAGATGGCAAGAATACACAGAAGAACTATACAAGAAAGACCTCGATGTCCTTGACAACCACGACGGTATAATCACTGATCTCGAGCCAGACATCCTGGAATGTGAAGTTAAATGGGCCTTAGAAAACATTAATAACAACAAAGCTAGTGGAGGTGATGGTATCCCAGCTGAGCTATTCAAAGTCTTAGAAGAGGATGCTGTTAAAGTTCTGCACTCCATTTGCCAGCAAATTTGGAAAACGCAACAGTGGCCACAGGATTGGAAAAGATCAGTATACATTCCAATCCCAAAGAAGGGCAACGCCAAGGAATGTTCAAACTATCGCACAATTGCACTCATATCACACGCTAGCAAGGTCATGCTCAAGATCCTACAAGCTAGGCTTCAACAGTACGTGGATAGAGAACTACCAGAAGTACAAGCTGGGTTTCGAAGAGGTAGAGGAACTAGAGATCAAATTGCCAACATTCGCTGGATTATGGAGAAAGCAAGAGAGTACCAGAAAAATATCTACTTCTGCTTCATTGACTATGCTAAAGCTTTTGACTGTGTGGATCACAACAAACTATGGCAGGTCCTTAAAGAGATGGGAGTACCAGACCACCTCACATGTCTCTTGAGAAACCTGTATAAGGGCCAAGAAGCGACAGTTAGAACCGGATACGGAACAACTGATTGGTTCAGCATAGGAAAAGGAGTACGACAAGGATGTATATTGTCACCTTGCTTATTTAATATATATGCAGAGTACATCATGCGAAATGCTGGCCTGGATGAATCACAAGCGGGAATTAAGATTGCTGGGGAAAAGATCAACAACCTCAGATATGCAGATGATACCACTCTAATGGCTGAAAGTGAAAAGGATCTAAAGAGCCTCTTGCTCAGAGTAAAAGAGGAGAGCGCAAAAGTGGGCTTGAAGCTCAACATCAAAAAAACTAAGATCATGGCATCCGGCCCCATCACTCCTTGGCAAATAGAAGGGGAAGTCGTGGAAGTAGTGACAGACTTCACGTTCCTGGGATCCCAGATCACCGCAGACTGTGACTGCAGCCATGAAATTAAAAGACGCCTGCTCCTTGGGAGGAAAGCGATGGCGAACCTAAACAGCATGATAAAAAGTAGAGACATCACCCTGCCAACAAAAGTCCGCATGGTCAAAGCAATGGTATTCCCAGTAGTCATGTATGGCTGCGAGAGTTGGACTATAAGGAAGGCCGAGCGCCGAAGAATAGATTCTTTTGAACTATGGTGCTGGAGAAGACTCTTGAGAGTCCCTTGGACTGCAAGAAGAACAAATCAGTCAATCCTCAAAGAAATCAACCCTGACTGTTCCCTGGAAGGCCAGATAATGAAACTGAAGCTCAAATACTTTGGCCACCAAATGAGAAGGGAGCACTCACTGGAGAAGACCCTGATGCTGGGAAAGATTGAAGGTCAAAGAAGACGGGGACGGCAAAGGATGAGATGGTTAGACAGTGTCA